GCTGGAATAATAATTTGGTAAACCATTTAGCTTTTTTACATGAATAGTTGATTAATATGTTAGCTAGTTACTTCTCTTCTCAAACCACAGAGACCTGTTGTTACTCAATTGGGTAGAAAAGGCTGTACTAAGAATTACTTTTCTAAACCCTTACTCATTCTTTGTAGTTGTTTCTGTAAACTCTCTTTAAATTTTTGTTTGCCCAGCTCTTGCCAATCTGTGTGTATAGCTCTGGATCCCGCCAGACATATATCAACATCAGCTGGTGGCTGCCTACAGTGTATGGTGGAGAGATGCAGGTTTAGGGGTGAGAGGACGCTAGTTGTATGGAAATCGCAGCTCACAGCGCAGTGTGTTTTACTTGTTTAAGAACCATTCCTAAAAGGCATGGCAGGCAGTGAGTTGTTAGTGAAGAATCACACATTTAGAGGTGATGATGCAGGCTCTTTGAATCAGGTATATAAAAAAAAAAAATCTAAGTCCTCAGCTGTACAGACAATTCACTAACTGAAGTCTTCACATTGACTGTTTAAAACCAGTTAATAAACAGTGTGTAATTATACTACTGCAACAATAATAGTTGTTGTCAGTTTTTTGCTTGTGTGCCTTTCAAGGAGTACAACTCGAGATTTCTTGGAGGTGTAAATTCATTTAGAAACATTGTTTGCCTTGTTTTTCCTCACATGTATAATACTCTTAATAGTTGAAACATCAAGGTGTTGGGTTTTTTCTTTTATCTTTTTTTTTCCCCAAAGGTACTACTGAAGAAACCATTTTAGCAGCAACAATTAAGAATATCATAGCTCCAAAGTAGAATAAAAATATTTTACCTTGTTTGTATCAATCATTTGTTCTAAAAATATTTACTGATAAACAAGTCTGAACTCTTTAATAAAAATTTTTTTCCAGTAACACGTCTCATTACTTCTCAAGCAGCTGCAGTTTGACTAGTGGGAATGGATGCTACTGACTTGTTTGTTGTTTGGTTGGTCGTCTTTTTAATTAATGCAATACGTGCCATTAGCCACGCTAATTTTTTTTGAATCATAATATTTGTTGACTGTGAGAGCATTTCTGAACTTTTCTAATCTATTATCCAGCTATAACAGCTACCCATATTACTATGGTTACCCCAGATAGTAAGGTGGAAATTTAAATCCTAATTTAATGTTATTTCTACCTCTGGAATAGAATTTTCCAGCAATAAGCAGAAAACAGTGAACATTATTTTCAAAAACTGAACGATATTTTGAAATACTTAGACTAGAAAAGATGCTGGATTGTATGCCTTAATTGCAAATTATGAAGAAGTCTTCAAATACATCCTTTCAGATTCTGCTGTAGTTAGCTTCCTAAGTATTTCTTAGTCGTTTCTGCTAGCAGTGACTAATTCTGGTAATGATATTTCAGAGTGAGTTTTGTCTGTGGAACATGCTGTATCACTCAGCCACTGTGCGTGTAGTGAGGGACATAAGTGCAGTACTGTGCTGCTAGAAAAATTAGCTGCCTGGTGTCCTGTTTCCTCCCTGAACCTCCCCCATCCCAGATAACAAACTCCAAGGAAGTTCCTCCTCCCAGTTCAGGGGAGGCTAGCTGACTAGGTATGCTTTTGCATGATGCTGCCTCTTTCTTAAATTTAGGATGCTTAAAGTTAGTTGGTTTGGGCTTTTTTGGGGGGTGGGGAGGAGGGTTAAGTACACTTTTCCAGTGTCTCATTGTTGCGTCTTGTGTCATAGTTTGAGCTTACAGTTTTTTTTCTTCTAACAGAATCAAAGTGTTACTTCCAGAGCCAGTTCTTCCCCTGTGAGAAGATCAGATGAATACAAAAAGATAGGGCTTCATGCTAAGAATTTTAGCAATTCACTTATTTATAGGCTTCTCCTTCATTTTTGGGAAGTCAGGTTAGAACTGAACAGCAGGAGAAGGTTAATGTGGGGAAAGCTGAGAGAATTGGAATTTGGAGAAAGAGGGCAAGCCCTTAAGGCAGACTTGTATTTACCACGCCATTGTTTAAATGGTGATTCTTGAGACATAGTTACATAGGCTTTCAACACTTGAAAGACATTTTGTTATACCTATATATATATATACATATAGCGCTCTGTTTTCTGTGAACAAGCGTATCACTGATGACATGCTAAATAGAGAACAGAGAATGAATCTGGTGGTTTAAATAATACAGCTTGATCTTCAATTCAAGATCTGAAACTTCCCCATAGACCTTGTATTCTACCTTTAGAAAAAACAGCCTGACATTCCTGATCTTTCATGTTCGGTTTTTTTTTTTTGGATTGCAGGTGTAGTGGGAGATTTTTCTCCATTCTGAGTGTTAAGAGACTTTATTCACAGGTTTAGTTAAATTAACATATGCTGTATGAATGAAAGTGAAGAAATTATATTTGTTTCGACATGCAGCTGATTGGTCACTGGAATGTGTCCATTCCTCTGAATTCTTGTGCAAAAGTGAGTTACTTAAAGTTTGGCTACAACGGTAGCAGATGCTGATGTGGAAACCCAGACCACACATTCCTTCCTGCTTCCATCAGCAGCACACGTTCTTCATTCTTTGTTTAAAGGTCAAAGTAACTTAACAAGTAGGGCTGACTCATGCAGATGTGAACTCTATGAATGCAGTGTACTTTTGATTGCTCCCCCTTTGCAGCCGTAGTAAGGGTTTCTTTTTGAATCAATGAACTTGACGTAATCACAGGCAATGAATTAAAATACTGACATCTTGGAGTTTCAGTCATGGTGATAGTGCCTCAGTGGAAGAAGATACACTCCACAGATGGTAACAAGCTTGCTGCAGCTAGCCCATGAAGCTGAAAATATTCAAATATTCTTGCAAACTGTTTTTATCAAAGGTGTTTAAAGAAAAAGCAGCCTGCCCACATGGAGACTTGAAATTCTCTTCCAGCAAAAGATGTCTTTTAAACCATGCTATTCCCATTCTGGCTTTATAGTTTGTGCTGCGCAGAAGCACTGTGTTTATACTTGGTTATCCACCTCAGTCAGTTACAACATGTTACATGTTGTGTTTTGCATACATAAAATATACATATGCTATATATGCATAAATGTTACTGTTTTCTCTCAGTTTTAGTCATTAGCTTACAAGATTCAGTTTTACCACTGATTCTTGATAACCCAGAGTCATTTCATCTTGCTTGGGAGTATACTGTCTGGACCTGTATGTCCACATGGGTTGAAAGCCATGTCTCCAGACACCTGGGGTTTTGTAAATGTTTCTCCAGCTCCCAGGATGCTGCATTGCAGATAGTGACATAGAGATTTGAAGGAATTAATCCTGTATGATACATTTTTTCATCTGGGGAATCCCTGATTCTAAAAGATACCAGGCCAAATCAGGTGGATTTGGCTTCATGAACTTCAAGAAATGTAGTCTCATTTACTGTTTAAAAAAAAAACCCCACAACAATCCCACAATGCTAGTTTTAACTATTCACCTTTTTTTTTTTTTTTTTTTTTTTTAAATTTTATTTTAGGCCTCCTGTCAGTCCATGATAGCTAGCTTACATGAAGGGCTATTCTCTCCCATGAGAGGTGTATTTTGAATTTTAATAATTTAATGTTTATACAGGTTACCATCTGTAGGTGATAGATTAACTAACCTTACAGTAATTTTTCTCACTTTTCGCTATAATCCTTCATGGTCACCATGTTTTTGTTCTGGAAAGATGTTACTACTTCTGCCTGCTAATTCCAGAATGTCAAAGGTTGCCTTGGTCTTACCTTAGCTGGCGCATATCTTTGTGCTTGCTGCATAAGAAAAATATCCATCGAAGATTGACAGATACGGATTTTGTGCTTTGCTATAAAATTGTAATGGAATTGAGGCATTTGATATCCACTGAGATAACCAAGGCAGGTAAGAGATTGAGGTATCCTTGTGGTATCAAACTTACCTAAATCTGCAGCTGCTTTGGTTTCTGCAATGTCTTAGGCAGTTGCATTGCCTACCCTGGTGTAAAATCAAAGAATTGTTCTGTCAGTTAAAATTCAGGAAAAGATTACGTAGATCTGTGTACATATCTACTGTTTCTGACTAATGAAGCTATGCTAAGCTCTAACTTGTCTGCAATGCCTGTTTCATGTGTAGTTTGCTTTGTTTACTAGCATAATGCTCATGACATGGGTGAGCTGGATGACATGTTAACAATGCTTATGATTATAGGTCAGTTTTCATTTAAAAAAAAAAGTTAATGAAACATCTGGTAACCCAGAAAAACAGGAACTACTTTAATGATGCTTTATTGAGTTTTAAAATAACTGCATTTCATTAGATAATGAAATGTGAGATTTAAAATGAGCAGAATAAAAAATGGAAGCTTCCTACATCTAGAAGTTGATACTGTGTAATGGTCTGTTTAAAGGAGGAGAATCCATGCTCAGTCATCTCTTTTTCTTAGTATGTCTTAGGTTTATTGTTAATTTGCTGTAGGGAGATATATTCATATGAATTACTGTAATAAATGTCTACCTGTTGGGTTATGCATGCTGAATTAATCATATAAACATTGATCCGGCAAAAGGAACTGAAGAAACATAAGCATCTTACAGTCTATAGTATCTGTAATGCATCTTGGCAAAGAATGAATTGGAGATACTTATAAATTCAACACATTTAATTAATGGCAACAGTTGAATACCATTTTATTGAATCAGAATTTGCATTTTTATATATATATATAACTTCTTTTAGGATTATTAAGACAGGCTACACAGCTATTGTAATGTTCATTCTCTGGTCATTGTCTTATTTTGCTTATATACTCTTTGTAGGCATATAGGATGATAGGACAGACTAAACTTTTTGTGCTAAAATTATGTCCTAGATATTAAGTGCTGCTTGTGGCAGATTGCACATGAGTGTCTGGTGTATATGGGGGGGGGGGGGAAACATGGGAATGTAAGTCAGTAACTCTTATCTCTCTTGAGGGACACCCTGTTTCAATTGTAGTATTTCTCATTTATTTTAGAGGAAGCCCACATCTGAAGGGAACCCCACATTATAAGGAAGAACAATGTGCTCCTTCATTAAATCTAGAAATGAAGAAAGTGCTGGACTTGCAAGCCTCTATCACAAGGTATGCTCACTAATCATGTCTTAAGAATTTTTCTGCATGCAATGGATACTTGTTAAAAAGTGAAGGGGAAACTGGGTGGAAAAAAACTTCTAGCAAGTTTTTTGACTTACATAATAGTAAGTTCCTAATCGTTACATGTAAGAAGGTAAAAAAGTACAGTTTTGTTTAAGAATTCTTTCTTTCTGTGCTTGGCTGTACTGATCTTTTTGGCATGTAGAAGTATATAGCACATGTATGTTCCATATTACATTATGTTACTGTAAATGTGTTTGTCCTTGGGCTCAAGGTATGGATTAGAGATTTAATGGAAACATAGGTACATAAGAGCAAAAATGTATGTAGCATTTCAACATTTCTCCAGCTGCCTGCGGAGAGGCCCTATTTGTCCTGGAAAAAACTTTTTGTTTACCTCTTCTTTTTTTTTGTGGTGATTGCCTTTCTTATAAATAAGCTTTGAACATGCTAAATAAGTGTCTGTGAAAAGTTGGTAAAACTGTATAGCATTGGAGTGGGGTGGAAAAGTAACAAAGTGCAATTTGGGAAGAGGCCCCATAGGAGAAAATGGATGCTGGAAGAAATGTAGTATATACTGGAGAAAGCTTTCCTGGGAAGCTGCAGGTTGTTGTCTGCATGCAAATAGATTAACAATAGTTTTCAGGATTTTGGAGATGTTTGGGGAAGGATTTAGGGGAAGTCTAATTCATGCTCCATCAATGAGCGTAGACCATGGGTTAGAAAGCGTTGTGGATTATTTGCAGCCCAGGTAATATTGGTAATTTTCTGGGATAGATGAATAATTGATTGTGGGTAGCAATGCCTTATATTTAGTCAAAAGTGTTAAAATGGTCTTCAGCTGTTCATATACCATTTAAACAATTACCCTAAAAATACAGACCTGTTCATGAACTCTGATTCCCGGAGGAAGAGAGACATATACCACAGTTTGTCAGCTTGGTACCTTTACTGTCTAGAGCACTTAGGCCCTTAGTTTGTAACTTATTTGATATAACTTCTCAACATAGTTGCTGATAAAAGAGGCAGTAATATGGTGATTGTTACATTAACTGATTTTTCTGTGATGTTAATTTGAGATGCAGTTCTTTAGAGAATGACAAATACATTTGTTAGTTTGCAGTCCATGTTAGAGGATCTACTTGTTGCTACTGCTGATGGATTTCTCCATCTCGTTCACTGGGATGGTATGACCAATGGAAGGAAGGCCATCAACCTATGCACAGTTCCATTTTCTGTGGATCTGCAGTCTTCTCGAGGTAGGTTTTTGGATTTTTTATTGCTTATGATAGTTAACTGGTGGCAAAATACCATCTAATATAAAATATTATCTCTGTTCTCAAGCAGAGATGAGAAAAATGTGCCTTTTGTAAATGTGAACAAAATAGCCTGGGTTTTTTGTTTGTTTTTTTTTTTTTCTATGAAGTAATGCTAAACAACTGAGAAGTCTGCTGGCTTGCAATATCACTGTGTTCACGTATTTTTAAATTACTGCTGTTTTCTCAGCAGGTTCATTTTTGGGCTTTGAAGATGTTTACATCAGAGATATGGAATACTGTGCCACGCTTGATGGTTTTGCTGTTGTTTTTAATGATGGCAGAGTTGGTTTCATTGCACCAATGTCAAGTAGATTCACTGCTGAGGTATATTTCCTTTAGTATTTCTAGCATGCGCTCTACAATAAATGTGTTTTCCTTGGTCTCTGCATTTCAGTTAGCTTTCTACTTTAAATTCTGTTCAGCTGCAAAGAAATTAAAATTTACTAACTGCTTAAGAGATAACAACAAGGCTATTTCATAGCATAATTTGAACTAGATTGTTCTAGGGCTAGTACCTGTCCTTGGTTGAGCATAATTGATAGTAGATTTAATTTTTATTTATTGCTTCAAAATGTCATTATTGTTCTGAGGTCGTCTGACTGTCTCTGAGATAGGCTTCCTGTTGCTAGTTATAAGTGGGGTGATAAGAAGTGGTTCCTCCTATGGCAGAGTATCATAGGTGTTCTTTCTGGCTTTTAGCTGTAATCAAGTCTAACTCTTCTCATAGTGACAAGCATACTTCAGAATTTGTTTCACAGGAATCTTTTCCAAGTTAGGTGTTTTTTTACCTGTAATTCAGCCTACAAACTGTACTACATTTTGTCATTAGATCTCTGTATTTTAATTACAGAAAACCCAGAAGGATTTGTGTAGTCTGTCTGAAACTCCTTCACACACAATATCTGTGATTTCAGCTGCTGCAGATGGGAATTTATTTTCCTGTTCTGTGTTTTGTCTTCGTCCTGAGTACCATCTACTGACTTCTTTATGCAGTATCAGGGATATTTTTGCCTTATAGCTATTGACTTGCTTTGGTTATTCAGAGCTCTGATAAACAATTTCCTTACATACTAGTATCTTTCTGTAATTTATATTAAGAACAATGAAACCAGTTTTATATATACTGGATTTTGTTTATGTGAGCCGTGCCAGTTATTCTTGACATTTGCAATAGAAATTTTCTGAGGTGATGAAGGTCAACTGGCAGATTTGTAATATGGCATAGATGGGTAGCACATGGGTAGACGCTATCATGAATAAAAGCACTGTTTAACCAAAAATTCTGTGAATTCCTGTTTTACAGCAGCTCCATGGAGTTTGGGCACAAGATGTGATTGATGGAACTTGTGTGGCAGTAAATAACAAATACAGGCTGATGGCATTTGGATGTGCCAAGTAAGTTTTGTAGGGCTGGTACAGTGAGGGGAAAAATGATTTAATTATAAAGCTTAAGTACTAGTTTCTTCTTACCAAGTTGTGTTGCAAGAGCTGCAAAGATGCAAATGATCAGTCTTCCTAGAGATGGTAAAATCTGCTCTGTCAAGAAGGTAGAAGAAAAGAAATAAATCACCCGCTTGAACTGCAGTTGAAGTTGATGCTTGCTGTTCAGCTCTGGAAAAAAAATAAAAAGGTGGCTGGACCAGTAGCAAGGACTGGAAAGTGCTGCTGTCCCGGTTAATCTCAAAGCAGGATTATAAAGTCAATTCTAAGCAGTTAATCATAGCAATATTGGACAAGAATCAGCACTTTGGACCCAACTGAGAGAATGCTCTGTCGAGTGCTGATTTGGTCAGGAAAAGTGTTGCCTATTTGAGTAACTGTGTATATATGTAAATTATATGTTGCAAAAGTGCTTTTAGTTGTGCTGTTTTGCTAACTGCTCCTTCAAGACAGTTCCTCCTGCATAATAATGCTTTAGCTGGTCTGGAGTGCACCTTTTTTTTTTTTTTTAAAGTTGTATTTTATTTGGTTGTTAGAGCATTTCAAAAGATCTGGGTAGTTTTATCTTCAACTGTCGTCTTAAGAAATAGTATTCTCTGCTGTAGTAACAATGCAGTGTGTTGGTGTTTGCCTCTGAAACAGGAATAGTTATTATAATTCATTGCTCTTGGTATGCATTAGCACAATCCTGATGAAACTTTAGCACTCAGCAAATACTGACTTTCCTCATGGATTGTCTTGCAGTTGGAAGCCATAAATACATGTGGATTGTGTGGGCATGTGTATTTTCAGAGCATGAAATAGTGCATTGGTTGTTATCAGACTGCTGTTTTGGTTCCTCCACTGCCTTCTGGAAAGTATCTTATAAATCTGTTTATTAAAGTTCTTTTTGTGTTACTTGACACAGTGTTTCTGCTCTAGATAAATTCTGTATTGATGTGGAAAAAGCAGCTTTTATTAACCTTTTGAAACTGATGAGAAATCCAAATGGTCTGTAGTCTAAAGCATGTGTAATCTCTTTCAGCGGCTCTGTGCAGGTTTATACGATAGATACCACCACTGGCGCCATGCAGTTTTCTCATAAATTGGAGCTGACACCAAAACAATATCCTGGTGAGCTACTTTTATTGCAAGAATTTTCCAGCTGTTTTTAGGGTGTTAAAGAATATTTTTCTCCTCGGCTAGTTAACAACTATTTGTTGTTTGAATTATCACTGATGGGATTACTGTTTAGTCTTGCATGTTTGTAGTAATTTACTCTTGTGCATTTTTTCTTTTGTCTGCTTGCTTTCATCTGACTTTTGGATGTGTTTCATATGTGAGGGTTCAGGGTTGGGGGCTTTTTTTGGTTGGTTTTGTTGTTTGTTTTTTTTTACTGAACCTGAGTTAGCAGTTTATAGACAATGCTGCTTCTGGTTGTTCCTTTTCAAATGCTGCAGATCTTAGTAGTTCCCACATGTAGTCTTGAGATTACTTTTTCTGTTATTCACCTGAGAAAATGGCAGGTTATTGTCAAAACTGATAATGAATATAGTAGAGGTGTGAATTAACTTAAAACAACTGACAGGTAGGATACAGGAAAAAAATGAGTAATCCAGCACCCTGCCTGAACTGCAGTGAACAAAAGCTCAGTGGAATTTTTTATGTAGTAGTGATACATATGACAGGCTTGAGAGTGAGGAATGTATAAAGTGGGTAAATTGCATCCTCAGCTGAAAATGTGTGTGCCTGTTAGGTTTCAACAAAAAAATCAAACGGAGTTTTACAGTTGTGTTAAGTGCCAAAGGAAGAGCTTTCAAGGTGAATACAGAATCTTCTTTTGTCCTAAAAATCATTTTACCAGAATTGAATTCTATGGTTGTGTCATAGCACATTGTATTTCTGGCCTATTTTCATGTATTCTTAGTTTCCTCCAAAACCAAACATGTATTGGAAGGAAAACATGAATTCTTCATTTGCTACTTACTCATTTTGAGATGGTCAGTTTGAATACAACAAAGAAGTTAATAGAAAAATGAAATATTTATTTCCACATACTTTTGTTTCTACTTTTTTGGTGAAAGCAATTGAAGGGCATTTGATGTTTTTCACATGGTATGTTATTATCTGTTTTTAAACAGATATTTGGAATAAAACAGGACCTGTTAAACTAATCAGATGGTCACCTGATAGCTGTGTTGTGATGGTGACCTGGGAATGTGGAGGCTTGTCCTTATGGAGTGTTTTTGGTGCTCAGCTTATCTGTACTTTAGGAGGTGATTTTGCGTGAGTATTTCATTAAAAATTGTAACATCTTTTATTAGAACACTTTATTTTTCTAATTAAAAGCATTTACTTATAAACTAATTCACTGAGTTGTCTTTAAAAAATATTTTTCCATTATAATTCTTTAGATATTGGATCACTGAATAATATTTAGGAGGGGATCATTTGAATATAAATGAAAATGTATTGTTTTCTTTTTGTAGTGGTCTTTTTGGCTGTAAAAGCAAATTACCCTAAAGGCAGTCTTTAGCAGGCAAATATTAAAATTCTCACTGCTAGTATATATTTGCTGAAAATGTGCTAACATCCAGAAATCACAATTCAAACAGTTTATGCTAAACAACTGATGATCGTATTGCCTTTTATACAGCGTCATGGGTCAGACAGGCTTTATAGTTTGCGTTGAGGTTCAGTATGGAACCATATAGCAATACCAAGATAGGAAGATAATTTCTTAGTTTGATGAAGTTATTTCCAAACTCAAACTTGTTCTGTTCTGTTTCTAAGGTATCAGTCTGATGGTGCCAAAAAGGACCCTCTAAAGATCAGTTCTATGGTAAATATGAATGTAAAATACTGTAATAGGATGGCTGTTAATTTTTTAAATTATTTTTAGTGAAACAGACTGGCTTTCTTTAGCTTTATTACTTTTAAACAGTAAGATGCCTTTACTACACTTCCTAACACCAATGTTTTATTGAAGGAAGAGGGAAAAGGGGACAGGTGATGATTTTCCTCCCTGCCATGTATATGCCTGGTCATGAAGTGAGCACGACATGACATGCCTCTTTTTGGCTTTGCTTTTAATATTAAAAATGAGCACTTTGGGTTTCTTTTAATCTTTTTGAATCTGGGGTTGTGTTTCAGAGTACAGTGAGACACAGAACAACACTTATTCCCCTAAAATTGCTAGCTTACCTTTTGCTATTGAAGTAGCTTAACTCAGAATATGAATTGAAGAGGAAGTTAACTGCTGTTGTTTTAATAGAAAATAATTAATGTGAAATCCCACTAGTCTATCAAATCAGTACATGTTGATAGATATCAAATACCATCTTCAAGGCCTCTTTTACAGACGATGCATCTTGTACAATGCTTCTAAACCATTTGATTTTATTTATGTATAGCCTGGTTGCTATGAAGATTGACAATTTTAAACTCGCATCCCAAGTGGATGTATGTGTTTGCAAGGACAGTACAATGTACCTTTTAAAAACACACAAGATTGAAATTCTCATACCATCAAATTTAATGAACAACCACCAGTATAATTTTGGGGATCAGGATTTTTTTCATACCTGATTAAGTTTGTGGATTTTTTATTAGTTGCTTTAAGCTGCAAACTGAACAGGTTTTATACTTATGTGGATGTATTGCATAGTTACATTTAATCAAAATATTTTACATAAAAAAGAAAAGAACTTAAGCTAGATTCATACTCTTTCTTGTGGATTTTACTGCTATGGGTTACTTATGATTCCTGTGATGATATATTTAAAACAACAAACTGTGTGGTTTTTTTACCAGGCTCATGTCATATCATAAGATCAGTTACAGTAAGTTTCTGTAGTTCTTGTTTTCTAAGAATATATAGTGTTGGTTTGGGGTTTTTATTATTTTTACTTTTTTACATTCAGACCTGGGGATCAGAAGGGTATCATCTGTGGGTTATTGATGGGAATTCTTCTTCAAACATGAAGCCTGAAAGAGATGCAAATAATGAAGCTCGCCAGTTTGGTATTCTGCAGTTTCATTTCATCAAGAGTGCACTCACTGTTAATCCTTGTATGGTAAGTTTTTTATAGATAAATATATCCTTATTTTAGAGCATATTTCCACTTTTTGAGTGACCTCTGAGTTATTCTCTTAACAGGTTTTAAGTCTGGCTTGCAGCTATTAGACTGGTCTTCCTTTTTTTGTCATAGAGCCTTTAAAATGGTACTTTGAAAATATTGCTATGCAATGCTGTAACATAAAACCTACTAGTACATAGTGATACCAAAACTGAGAACTGCCTTAACACTTATTTTTCATATTGTTTACATAGAACCTGTTAATATGTTGATTATGTGTTTTCCTGTTAATATGTGATCATGGAGTTCAAGGTTGCTTTTGGTTTTCTGTTGTTTTGTTTTTAATATAGAGTAACCAGGAACAAGTCCTCCTTCAAGGAGAAGATCGCTTGTATTTGAACTGTGGAGATGCAACACAGGCTCAGAGTCCCAGAAATACTTCGGCAGGGTTTAAGCACTTTACTAGGACACAGGCATTGGCATGTTGTACAGGTAATTGTTGCTGGTTGCTCATATGTGCTCTGTGCTTGCGAGAGTTTATAGGACTGGAATTTGCAGCTGATCTCATCACTCTCTGCCATACCCTTCTCCTCTAGTATGAGATCATTGCCTTTTTATTGCCTCTTATGTTTCCCCTGGTACAGCTTTTTCTTATTGCCAAATGGTAAAGGAATGTTGGCCATCTCAGCCGTGTGGCTATGAGTTTGCATCCTAGCCAACAAAAAAATGTGAAAGTCTTTTCAACCTCAGGAAGGATTAGTTAAATCACTTTGCTCTGCGTTGAAAGGGAGAATAAGTGCAGCATGCAAGAAATCCTTTAGGGGTTTGTTCTGTTGTTTATGCAAATTGCTTTAAGCATATTCAACTGATGAATACAGCCTTCGAACCTTGGCTGTATTTTCAAGTAGTCTTAGATGGCATCTATTTAAGCATGTAATTAAAACTTCACAATTTCAAACTTGTGAAGAAGAAATTATTTGCAGGGGTAGTAATGGGACAGATTCTATTTTCTCTGTAATATAGAGGAAAAATTAAATAACTTTTAATCTGTAATTCTAGTGTGTAGTTTTTCCACGCTTGAATTGGTAGACATTTTTCTAAATAAAGGTTTTTAAAATGTCCCCAAGATTTGTTTTTCACATAGTACATGAATCAGTATTGTTAAACAGCATTTTACTCTGGGCATGTATGTTAGGTTCTAGATAGTGTTGAATTTCCACTTAAGCTGGCCAGATAGCTCTTCTGTCTTGTGAAATTGGCGTAGGAGGGAGAAGTTTTCATTCTGTGTAGGAGTAAAATTAACACACTTAACATTACTGTGGGGAGCAACATACCCATGAGAACAGCCAGTGGCTGGGTAATGAGAGCACCTACCTGCCTTATATCAGACCAAAGACTGGCGTTTGAAACCGGATTTGTATCATCCTACATGACATGAAGAATCCAGGATCAAGATTTAATTTGACAAATCCCGGTCAAATGCTCTCATAACAAGAGTCTTGGATGTGCTGGTGTGTATTTCTGAGATTAGAAGTCTCTTCCCAGCACTGAAATTCCCTCCTGAATGCTCTGTTTATCAAAACTTGTGTGTTCCCATGGAAGGTTCTAATGGAGGAGGAGAAGTACCTAGGGGGGGAGAAGAGCAAATTTTGACTATTTATCTGTAATGCAGTATTAGCAGTTTTATGTTGTTAAGGCATTTCTCTATTTCTTCTATTAAAAGCAGGCTAACATTCAGGCTTCAGTAACTTTCTTGGGGAGAGGGGGGAGTAACTGTATTTAAAAAAGAGATCCCAACATTAAAAACCTTTAAGCCAATGCTTTGGAAAAAAAACCATGGACATTTTACAAACTCCTTTAGAACATTATAATTAATCACTACTTTAATGGTGCTTGGTGTAGTTATGTGGTGTTGGTTTTTCCCTTTTTTTTAGATTCATAGTACGTATCTAGAGAGCAACTGGCCTATAAGGGTGAGTTATTTTAAAAATATGTTCTTGCTTCTTTTAAAAGTATTGCATTTTTGTAACTGTTCCTTAGGGTTGGATGAGCTCTGGAAGATGAAATCATTGTTTTGAATTACAGAAAGAAGAATATGTGTTGGGCAGTAAAGTAAAAAACATGAAGATACTTTACAAGTTTTGACTCTGATGTTATATTGCCTTGTAGTGATGTACTTGGATGGGATATATCATTTAAATAAGTTCCCTCCTGAGGTTCTGTTTTTTCCTCTTTGAACAGTTTTCAGCCATTGACAAGCTTGGACAGAATGTAGCTGTTGTTGGCAAGTTTGGTTTTGCACATTATTCTTTACTCACCAAAAAATGGAAGCTGTTTGGAAACATTACCCAGGTGAGAAGTTTGGTACTTTATTCAGGTACCCTGGGGAGGTTTTATTTGTTGCAATGTGACTCTTAGAGAAAAATCAAAAAATACCTTTTTCAAATAAACAACCTGCAGACACACTTGGGATTAGGGATGCTGGTTTGGCATGTGTTTTTCATAAAATGGCTGAAATGCTTATCTTGTGGCTTTGGCACAATAATTTGTGTCTGGTTATGAAAAGATTTCCAAATCTGAGTGCATACAGTCAGACACTTACTCCCATATGTCTTATCTGAGACTTTGTGTTAGACATAGCTTAGGATGCCAAGCTTGTAAATTCTGTCCAGAAACAGAAAACTAATTTGAGAGAGTTGAGGGATGCCAGTAGCATAAGGAACTGTGGAACTGTGTTCTGTAAGATGACGTTTATCCTTCACATATTATTCTTTAGTACTTTGGGTTTTTTAAACAAAACCCCTTCATATACATGGATTGTCTTGCTACTGTCAGTAAAGCTTATAGATATCATGTATGGCTTTCAGAAATTACCCATAGAATGTATGTGTGTGTGTATAAGCATATAAAAATACATACATATATGTCATTTGCTTTCTTTTTTTCTTTTCAGGAGCAAAATATGACGGTAACAGGTGGCTTAGCATGGTGGAATGACTTCATTGTTCTTGCATGTTATAATTTAAATGATCATCAGGAAGAGGTGAGGCATTTTTCTTCAAAGTAAGTCATGTTTAGAATATCTGATCTGTTCTACAGTAGTATCATAAATATGAAAAGCTTGGTCAGTTGCCAAGGGGAGCTGCTCCAGAGCTGGCCCAATCCACAGCAGAGCAGCAGATCTGGGCACACTGGGGGGTTTCCTTGAGACAGGGAAGTGCCAGGGCAGTGGAGAGACATGCCAGGAGCCAGCAGCTCTTGCAGGAGATGCTGGTGAGGCCTGGATGTTGCAAAGGAACTGCAGCCACCTCCACACCTATAAAATGCAGCCTGGGGAGAGCGAGCGACCAGAAATGCTGCAACCAGAGCAGGCAAACAGAGCGTGGTGTGTAAGCCAGGACATGGCACCGCAGTTTGCGTAGCACTTTGTGCGAAAGGGTGTGCAGGGAAGGTGTTGTCACCCTACCAGCTCATAAGGTGCATTCAGCTGGTGGTCATCACCCTCCCAGAGGAGCTTAGCTATCGTATCCACATGGCAGAAAGCTACGTCCTCTGCACTCACCAGAATGTATGTGGCAACCCAGACAGGGCTTCCATGAAAACATGCAGCTACCCAGGTCTCAGGCTGCAGGGCGTGCCAGAGCCTTTCACTGGTAATGGATGGCAGTAGTGAGAACAGCGGTGTGAGGTGTGACCAGGTGGACGATCTGCTCAGCCTGGTGGCAGAGCTACAGGAGGAAATAGAAAGATTAAGGAGTGTCAGGGAGTCTGAGAAAGAGACAGACTGGGGGAACCATGCTCTGCCCTCCCTGAGACAGAAACAGGAACAGCCACCAGAAAAAAACAAGATCAAAGGGATCCTGTATCCTTCCCCTGCCAGGCTGAGGGCGGTAGCTTAAAGGAAAGGAGTGAATGGAGGCAAGTCCACACTCAGGGTGGCAGGCAAACCCCCTCCTTGCCCACCTCGCCTTCCCAGGTACCTCTGTACAGCAGGTATGAGGCTCTGGATGTGGAAGACCAGTCAGTTGATGATGTGGATGATGGTCCACCTACACCAGAGGGGTTGCCAAGGTCAGAAGGGCCTACCCCCAGTATCACAACCACCTCCATAAATCATAGAATCATAGAATGTTTTGGGTAGTCTGAGAGGGCAATGAAGATTTACAGATCGCTTTGCCAAGTTATTGTGTGTGCAGAGAGACCTTGCAAACAACCCTCCGCCGTGACCTTCTACAGATGCTTTTCCAAAGGGGCTGTTGCCACATGGCTCTGCATGATCTCTCAATTTTGTTACTGTATTGGGTTTGTGTAGCAAGGTCTTGGTAGTGTGGGGGCTACAGGGGTGGCTTCTATGAGAAGCTGCTAGAAGTTTTCCCTGTGTCTGCTGCTGGCCAAGGCCAAGCCAATCAGCGACAGTGGAAGTGCCTCTGGGATAACATATTTAAGAAGGAAAAAAACTGTCTGCGGCTCAGTAGCTGGAGAGAGAAGAGAAGTGAGAGGGTGTGAGAGAAAACAGCCCTGCAGACACCAAGGTCAGTGAAGGAGGGGGAGGAGGTGCTCCAGATGCCAGAGCAGAGATTCCCCTGCATCCTGTGGTGAAGACCATGATGAGGCAGGCTGTCCCCCTGTAGTCCATGGACGTCCACGGTGGAGCAGATCTCCACCTGTAGCCCGTGGAGGACCCCATGCCGGAGCGGGTGTATGCCCGAAGGGAGGAGGCTGTGACCCCATGGGAAGCCTGCGCCAGATCAGGTTCCTGGCAAGACTTTGCGGACCTGTGGGGGGAGGAGCCCACGCCAAAGCAGGTTTGCCGGCAGAACTTGTTCCCGTGAGAGGGGCCCCATGCATGAGCAGGGGAAGAGTCCTCTCCCTAGGAAGAAGAAGCGGCAGAGACAACGTGTGATGAACTGACCTCAACCCCCATTCCCATCCCCCTGCGCTGCTGGGGGGAGTAGGTAGAGAAACTGGGAGTGAGTTGAGCCCATAAAGAAGGGAGGGGTGGGGGGAAGGTGTTTTAAGATTTAGCAATTTTTCTCCTCTGCTTCTCTGATTTTGATTGATAATAATTTTTTTTTTTTTTTCAAGTTGAGTCTGTTTTGCCCATGATGGTAACTGATAAAATGATCTCTCCCTGTCCTTATCTCGACCCACGAGCTCTTTGATGTACTTTTCTCTCTGTCCTGTTAAAGAGGGGAGTGATAGCGTGGCTTTGGTGGGCCCTGGTGTCCAGCCAGGGTCAAACCACCAGAGGGGACTTCAACCACTCCCCGACATCTGCTGAAAAAGTAACACAGCAAGTTATAGCCAATCCAGGAGACTCCTGGAATGCATTGAGGATAACTTCTTAAGCCAAGTAATAGACAGCCCTACCAGAGCGCATGTGTTACTGGACCTGATGATCACCAGTGCAAGTGAGCTAATTGGTGACGTCAAGATTGGAGGGAGTCTGGGCTGCAGTTATCCTGCACTGGTGGAGTTCACAGTCCTGAGGCATATGGGTCAGGCAGGCGAAGTGTAAAGTCAGGACCCTGAATTTTAAGAAAGCAAACTTCCAGCTGATCAAGGAGTTAAGTCAGTAGGAGCCCTGGGGAAACTGCCCTCAGGGACAAGGGAGGTGATTGTGCCCCTCTGCTCTGGTAAGACACCACCTGGAGTATTGCATCCAGCTCTGGGGTCCTCAGCACAGGAAGGACATGGACCTGTTGGAGCAGGTCCAGAGGAGGGCTACAAAAATGATCCAAGGGTTGGAACACCTCTCCTGTGAGGACAGGCTGAGAGAGCTGGCGTTGTTCGGCCTGGAGAAAAGAAGGCTGCGGGGAGACCTTATTGCGGCCTTCAAGGGGGCTTATAAGAAAGATGGGGACAAACTTTTTAGCAGGGCCGTGTTGCGATAGGAGAAAGGGTAATGGTTTTAAATTAAAGGAGGGTAGATTTAGACTGGATATAAGGAAGAAATTTTTCTGATGAGGATGGTGAAACACTGGGCCAGGCTGCCCGAGAGGTGGTAGATGCCCCATCCCTGGAAACATTCCAGGTCAGGTTGGATGGGGCTGTGAGCAACCTGATTGAGCTGAAGATGTCCCTGCTCATTGCAGAGGGGTTGGGCTAGATGACCTTTAAGGGTCCCGTTCAACCCAAACTTTTCTATGATTCTATGATACATAGGTGGCTTTTGGTCATGTTCAGAAATAATGTAAGTAATTCTTTGCAGAAAAGTTTATTATTGCTATTAAAATCTATTTTCTGCTGACTACCATGTATCCATCCACTCATTGTTCTGAAAACTTTGTGACATTTTTGCATGTTAGCATGAAGCTTGTTTTGAGACATCTAGTTACAGTATTTTGGGACACTTTTGTAAGGTTTTAAATTAGATGGGCAGAAAAGCCTTACTTACTCTTTGCTTTTTAAAAATAATGAATAAAACTGCTTCCTTATGTTTGTTGTTCAGTACTTCAGATTTGGCTGTACTGTTCTTTAACCACTTTGGATGCTATAATATAATGCAATGGATAAAACATTTGATGAAACAAAAACCTAGTAATGTGTCTTGCCAGAAATCCTTGACAGTAATTCCACAAAAAGGAAAATTGAATGTGGAATTACTGTTAGTTTGTTGGTAAGCAGAACCTGTATTCAAACTCCTCTTTTCCTTGTAGCTGAGAATCTACCTGCGAACGTCTAATCTTGACAATGCATTTGCACACATCACCAAAGTGCAAGCAGACACATTACTACTGAGTGTCTTCCGGGATATTGTAATATTGTTCAGAGCAGATTGTTCCATTTGCCTTTACAGTATTGAGAGAAGGCCTGAAGGGTGAGTAACAGTATTTAAATGCTTTTGCAGTAATGTACTTGTAAACCTGTTCTTGGTCTGAGTAAATTCTTACAATAATATAAAGTTGTTCATAACGTCTGGAGTCAGATTTTTAAAATACAGAGGGGTAAGTGTTTTACCTATATGCACGTGATAGTTCATGAGTGTTGTTGCTTGCATGCGTGCAGATAACTCACATTGGGTGTGGAAGTAGTGACTGAGATATGTGTGCTTCCAGCTGTCTGTACAAATGTGTTCTAGCTGATAGGAACTTGAAAACTGAATGTAAATAGAAGAAAAAGGTACTTAAAAGGCACCCACATATTTGAATATTTTTAATAAAAAATGTTTCTAACATTAGAAGTAGGAATTGGTGAGGGTGGCAGTGGAGTAGCAAAGATGAAGAGAGAAAAAGTTTGGTCTGTGGTGTGGTTTCGGGGAGCTATTTTGGTGCAAAAGAAGTAGCAACATAAGAGCCAGATACTTTTCAGACAGTTAAGATTAGTGAACCTAAGGAGGACATAAAGATTCCCGGATAGTTTTCTGAAGTGCATAAGCAGGTGATTTTTCTTACAGTTATGGCATCTTGGTTTCAGCAAGAAGGGACTACTATTTTTTTTTTAGCAGAAAGCAAGCTGTTTATCCACTTTAGAGGAAAATATTTTCAATGCTTTTCAAAGAGAACTCCAACAAAATCCAAACCCTGAAGCTGTCTTACTGAAGGGTGAATAGAGTCATTCTGAAGTGTCTGATATTCTCTTCTACCCACTTATAGTAGTGGGTAGTAGTCCAGCTTAGGTTTATTTGGTAACTTTATGTAAAGTAGATATGTGGGCCTGTAGGATTCTTGGTTAAAGAAAAGTCATTCTGGTCTGTAGAACAAACTGTTTGCTGAGGTTAAGTTGCTTATTTTCATTACGATTACTTCAAGATATTTTTTTGTTAAATACTACTTTAAAATTGCTAACCATAGTCATGTTTCCTTTCAGTCTTAACCCTACTGCCAGTATCCAAGTTCTTCAAGAAGTGTCCATGTCTCGGTACATTCCTCATCCTTTTCTTGTAGTGTCTGTTACGTTGACATCGGTGAGGACAGAGACTGGCATCACCTTGAAGATGCCTCAGCAGGTAATAGGTCTAGAGTGCCCAAAATTTAAAAGAACCAGTGCCTAGGTTTGTTAGCTTAGCCCTCAAAGGTTACCTGGCTGATGAAATGAATCATAAATCAGTGGTTCTTCTATGTGGTAAAATGCAGAACATGTTTTTTTCTGATGCTTGTTACATAGACATTTTATGTGTGACTTGGGGGTGGAGAGGTGGAAATAAAATCCAAACTCTTACTGCTATTTCATATCTTCTCATATTATCTTGTAAAGTTTGGGGCCAAATCTTGGGGGACAAATTAAACTTAACTATGTCATGGGTATGTTTCTCTATTATGTATTAAAAGTGGAACACCAGAGCGATCTATTGCATTAGCAAGTGCCTTTCTTGCAGAACAGTTCCATTACTCAAAGAATAAACAGAAAAAAGGAAAAGATGGCTCTGTAAGGTTACTTCTAGTCAGTTTTCTACTACACTAAAATAAAGTAAGATAATCTCTCCCACTAGGTACATCAGGAGATAGGTCAGCAGCCAGACAGTGACTAGGGTGTGAAGGTGAAGCCCTGTCTTAACTCCAGGAATGATTCAGGCCACTGAAAGCATGGTGCAAAAAGAACTTGGATTTTTGTTGTCTGTGGTGTAAACAAATTAAGCTTAACTATTTGAGTAGCTGCAGTACGAAGTGTATTTTCTCATCAGTGCATCTACCTTATGATAGTTTGGAAGTTGCATTGTCTGTGAGGCAGGCCCATGGACACGCAAAGGTGCGTATTTTTCTCCACCAAAGCCACAAGCAGATACAAAAGCAGTGGCACAGACGTAGAATCTGAAGGTTTGCACTTGCTTCCTTCAGTTCATTATAGTTTAGTGGCCCACAATGCTGAACATGTGTCCTGAGACTTTCATAACAACCTTAGACAAGGGCGTAAAAGACAATGTGTTTGTGGTTTTCTAGTCCATCTTGCTGTGAGACAGCATCCTTATTCCTGAACTACCTGACCTGTGGTGTTTTGTAATTTTGAGAAAAAGCTACTGAAACTTTCTAGAGCTCTAGTAATATTTTAAACTTAGCTTCAGACTGAACAAATATTACCCCTTTTCTTTCTAAGAGCCCATATCTTCAAACTTTGTCAATCCTCCTGATCAAAAGTACTAACGTTAGCACTGAATGTGACACTGCACTGTAGACAAAGCAGTGTGTCTGACTTAGCAGAGCATGTCAGCTTTTTCAGTGCTGTTACCTGCTTGTGACGTTAACCCCTGATCCTGCGAATTTATAATACAGGCCCTCTGCCCGTGTATTTTAAAACTAAACTTCATGCACAGCGTGATATCGGCTACAGTGACTTGGTTTAAAATTAACATGAAACAGTTCTGAAAAAAAATCTTTAGAAAAAATACTTTGCTTTCTTGATATACCTAACTAGAAAGATTTTTTCTCTAACTGCAGCTTCTGAAAGTTCAAGATGCAGTACAGGTGTGGCTAAACTCTGGCTTGTGTACAAGTGTTAGTCTTTGCAATCAGATACTGGCAATCATATAGTGGTGATAGTGATAAGAATACAGAGCTTTATTTTTCTTAAAACACTGGTGGCTTGCCTATGCCAAGAAGCATAGTTGGAAAAAGCCCATATCAAATAAACACATGGAATGAGTCTAGTGAACAAGAAACCTTCCAGTATTTGCTCTTTTGCACAAGAACTACATAAACGAATCTGTCTGTAGGTATTTAGTTCTACTTGATTATTCTGAGTTGTTCTGCTTTGAATTTGGTTGTTAGTCATTTCTGTGTGGCAGTGCAGTTAATTTACTCTTTTTTTTCTGGGTTGTATTGTGGTTATGGGTAAAATGATGCATCAAAAAGCTTAAACAATTTGCATAATACTCTTTTATCCTTAGGCTTGTGAGGCTGAAAGTATTATGCTAAACTTAGCAGGACAACTTATCATGTTGCAAAGGGATCGATCTGGACCCCAGATACGAGATAAGGATAATAACCCTAATCAAAGGAAGCATGTGAGTAAATACATGTGGAATATTGTATATGGCTTCAAAGATGTTGTGAAGTGACTGAAAGAATTGTGGAAGGGAGTGGTGCAGGCATAAAGAAAAGAGGTCTGTAATGCAAGGCAATGTAATGTAATGCAATGTAAGTGTCTACACTGACAGGCTGAATTGTTAGCTGGAAGTAAATCACTACTCCCGTGACGTTTTTTTTCCCCTAAGAACCTGTGCAACATTACTGTTTAATTGTGTGAATGTCTAACTAAATTATTTATGTGTGTTTGCTACTTGTATTGCACTGAAAGATAACTTTTAAGCATAAAGGTCCTGTGCAAAATTTGGTATGCACTAATGACAGAAAATCTCTAGTCTACCTAAAACTATTCTGTATGTTTATGGAACATTATCATTTTTTGCAGAGTATGTTTACAAGGTTCTAAAACCAATAATAATAGAAATCGGTGACTGAACTTCCAAATTTTTCTGTGCTGATGAAAAGCACTTTGGGAGAGTGAAATCTTTGAAAAGTTTAGATGAAGAGTTGTTTGCAGCTCACTCAGACACTAGCAAATCTGGTGTTTGCAGTAATTTTGTCAGTTCTAGGTTGGTCTCTTGCGCTAACTGAAGAAGCAGAGAGCAGGTTTTTATTTTCCTCCTATTCTCACCCCTCTGGCTTCCTGACTAAGTATAAGGAGGTTAAAAAAATAAAGAAATGTCTTTTGAGTAAATGTAAGTAATAGTGGTGTTTTCCCAGGTGCTGGGGTGCAGTTAAGGGATAAGCAGATTTATTTCTTCTTTATTAGAAGAATAACATGTTTGAAGAGAGTAGTTCTTACCTGAAAAAAGAGTTCTTGAGAAGAGGGTAAAGCAAAAAAAAAAAAAGGAATAATGAATTCTGATTTTTTTTTTTTTTTTTTTTTTTTTTTTTACACAGCTGCCTTTTTGTGCTCCAGTTGTCCTAGCCCAGTCTGTTGAAAACGTATGGACTACTTGCAGGATTAACAAACAGAAACGCCACTTATTGGAGGCTCTGTGGCTCAGCTGTGGTGGGGCAGGCATGAAAGTCTGGCTTCCCCTGTTTCCCAGAGATCATCGAAAACCGCATTCCTTTCTGTCAAGACGGATCATGCTGCCTTTCCACATCAACATATACCCATTGGCTGTTTTGTTTGAAGATGCCTTGGTTCTTGGTGCTGTTAATGACACTGTGCTCTATGACTGTTTATACACTCAGACCAGTGCTAGAGAACACTTAGAGGTTCTCTTTCCTTTCTCCATTGTTGAGAGAACCTCTCAGATCTACCTCCATCACATTTTACGCCAGCTCTTGGTTAGGAACCTCGGTGAACAAGCCTTGCTTTTGGCCCACTCCTGTGCCACATTACCATACTTTCCTCACGTACTAGAACTGATGCTTCATGAAGTGCTGGAAGAAGAAGCTACCTCGCGGGAACCCATTCCCGACCCTCTGCTTCCCACTGTGGCGAAGTTCATTACAGAGTTCCCCCTCTTCCTGCAGACAGTTGTTCATTGTGCTAGGAAGACAGAATATGCCCTGTGGAATTACCTTTTTGCTGCTGTTGGAAACCCAAAAGACTTATTTGAAGAGTGCTTAATGGCCCAGGACTTGGACACAGCTGCCTCTTACCTTATTATCCTACAGGTAATGGTACCTCATATATTGCAAGAGAGGTGATATTTACTAATCTTGGAGTATTTAAAAAATACTGTCATACCAAAGTTACGTATGTTAAACAAATGTTTGATTTAGCAATTTTCTGTTGAGATTATGTCCAGTTATAAAGGCGGGGGGGGGAAATATCATGCGATATAAGTAGTTTACTGTTATAAAAAGGAAAATAATAGCATGAAATTTGGTTCTTCTGATCTCTGGTATACTTGAACATGACATGATGTGGCTTGACTTAATAGGACTTTTGTTGCTTGATGGCAAAAGCAAATGACTTAATTATGCTTTGTTACTTGCAGAATATGGAAGTTCCAGCAGTTAGCAGACAACATGCTACTCTCCTATTTAATACTGCCTTAGAGCAGGGAAAGTGGGATCTTTGTCGTCATATGATCAGATTTCTTAAAGCCATTGGCTCTGGAGAAACAGAGACACCTCCAGCTACACCAACAACTCAGGTTTGTGATGAAATTAGTAAATACTATGCATCAAACCTTGTATGATTAATCTTGCTATGATATAGCATGTTTGCTCCTTTGACTGTACATTTGGATTTTCTTGGTTTTAGGAACCTAGTTCAAGTAGTGGCTTCGAGTTCTTCAGACATCGCAGCATTAGTTTATCCCAATCAGCAGAGAATCTCCATAGCAAATTTAACTTGACAAAAACACTGAGTATGCCCTCTGGCCCATCTGGAAAAAGGTAATTGGTGGTAATGTCCTCTCCTTTCTCACTTTGTTAGGTACCGTACTAACTCTCTTAGCAATTTAAGTTAGAACTACATTATATGATAGAGTTAGATTTGTCATAGTCTCCCTCCACATCCTTCTACATTTGTCTTTTCCTGACAAATTCAAATGCTTTTATTTAGTAATTTTCTATAGAGTACTATCTCAAGAGTTGTGATAGGAAGAGTCATAGACTAATACTTGACTTGTTCTCTAAACTTGTTTCTTGGAAGTCACTTTGCAGTGGTGTCTGCCTTTTGTCTCTCTTTTGTTTTTTTTTCTGCATTGCTAATAGTTTAATACTTAATGGACACTGCTGCTGTTATAACTTCCCTTATTTCACTTACCTGTTGAGGCAGTGGGATCTTTTAGAGAACATAAATAGACAGGGAATGGTGGAAACTGCTTTTTTTGGTATATAGAAAGCTCCCACTTCTACTCTGCTCACTTGATGTACTATGGTTGTGGCCAATAGCCCTTAAGACTCTTAATGTCACTGTTCTCTGGTCTGTCTATAGGTGGAGTAAAGACAGTGACTGTGCTGAGAACATGTACATTGACATGATGCTCTGGCGACATGCCCGGCGTCTGCTGGAAGAAATCAAGCTGAAAGACCTTGGCTGCTTTGCCGCACAGTTAGGCTTTGAGCTGATTGGCTGGCTGTGCAAGGAGCGAGCCAGAGCTGCCCGGGTGGAGGATTTTGTGTTTGCTTTGAAAAAGCTACACAAGGATTTCCTCTGGCCGTTTCCAGTCATACCGGCTTCGTCCATTAATTCACCTTTCAAGAATGGAAAGTACAAGACAGGTGCTGTAACCTCTGAGTTGATTTGGAGTAGGTTTCTCTCCTGCAGTCCTACACCCGTCAGTCTGAGTCTGTCCTTCCTCAGTTCAGCCAAGCAAAGAACAGGCTGAGGCTTGCCACCTGCACAGCTTTCCAACACATGGTGTGGTTTTTTTGAAGGGACTCTTTAGCACAGACGACATCTCTTGTGTGGTCTGATTATGCCACTGTTTCTGTTGAGGTTCCTTGCTTCCTCAGGTGCATGGACCTGGGTATCACTTGTGCAGATGTTGAGTTGAATGTAGATATCGCTCTTTGATGTAAATTCTGCTACAGAAAATCATTAAAATCAACATTCTTATACAGTCTTTAGATGAGGTTTTGATTAACTTAGTTAAACATCAGAGTAATGCTCCTAATATTTGACATGTTAAAGAGTAAGAATTTTGAGGACTTGCTGTAAAAACCCCCTTTGTATTATCAGTCTCTCAGTTCAGTAGTTTATCTTCTTTGCGCAAACTTGATACTAGCTGCCAAGTCTTCCTCGATCTGGTAGTAGCAGCACCATTTCGTTCTATTGATGCTAATGCTTTATCAGCTGATACTTGTGTTATGTCACTGCTGACATAAAAAGGTGATCAGAAATTCTTGAAATACATAAATTCACTGCATTCCCTTGCTTTTGGTGATCCCTCAGCAAACTAATTGAATATTGACTTAGATACAAGTTTTAGCTTCCTGAAATGCATGGAGAGAACTTTCCAAATTTCTTTGTTGATGGATACATGACTTTTCTTTGGTGGTTTTGTTGTGTTTTGGTTTTTTTTTTAGCCATGGGGGAGCAATTGCTAAAATCTCAGTCTGCAGACACTTTTGTAAACATGGAAATGGACACAGGGGTTTCAAACACACCTCGGAGTCGCAGCTGGCTTGGCGCTATCAGCTCCTCTCAGAGAGAGATTGACACGGTTTCATCCCATGGACCACACATGCAAGATGCATTCCTCTCTCCTTTGCTAAGTAAAGGTGAGTCACTCTTCATTCTGTGTGCTTATTGGAAAAACAGCACCTGGAAGCACGCACTTCTGTTTTGATATTTGCATGACACTGCTGTATTGTGGCTTCTCAACTGCTGATAAACATAATTCAGACCAAAAAAAAGGACTTGTTGAGAAGTGAGCTGATTTTTTTACAACAGAAGGATAATGCACATGTCATACATCTTCAGGTACTTGAAATAGAATATGAAATTGGTATTTGCTGAAGTTCCTGTCTGTGGTGGTAATTTGAAATTCAGTATTTTTA